AATAAATCAGGATGCCTCACTTGAATTCACCCTCGGGGAAGAGGCGGTGAGGTAACTGAGCTCAGGCATGTTAGACTCTGCCCAGGGTCTTAGGTGCTCATCATGACCATGGCTTTGAGGAAGATCCTTCAGGACTCAGGCAGGGCCTGGCTGAGGAAACCATGAGAGTCTCACAGAGAGATGACCCCCCGCCAATAGCTTTGCTCAAGAATTCCATGCCAGACTGGACCAGGAATCCCAAAAAGCTTGTAGACTGGGTTGGAATTTGATCTCCTGTTGGAGCTGACAGGGGAAAATGATGGATTGTAGACTGGGAGCCTGCTGACAGTCAGCCTCTGAGAGCCATGTCTGAGGTAGGCCACCTGGGCATCTCCTCCTGAGACTCAGTGTGCTCAGCATATGTGGAAGGTAGGAAAGGCGATCAGCCAGATCTTCTGACGGTCTTCTGAGACCTCCCAGGAAGGTCAAGAGCCCTAAAAGAAGAAAAAGTGTACAAATGGCAGCTCCTTGCCTCTCATGGTCCCGCCTAGGGATTATTTCCTGCAGGCAAACAGTTAATAGACACTGCTTGGTGGAAGGTCAGGTTGTTGTTCACATTTAAGGTTAACTTTCAGGCATGGAAATGATCATTTACTATGTGTCCTATTATAGGGAAACTGAGACAGGAAACATAGTCACTGAGTCAGGGTCACATAGGTTGTGAATTGCACAAGCTTTCTGTCCACAGCCACATCTCCAGCCTCCCCACATTGGAAATGGTACTAAGTGACCTTCACTCTTCTAGATCATTTTGTGGAATCAGGACTCCCTGATTCATGTCAATCAACATCAAACACCTGAGAAGAATGGACCACCTGTGGCCCAGCTGGACCTAAATATCAGCCAGATCCTGAGCTGTGTGAGATCTCTCACAGGCTGTCAGGTTTCTCAGGGAAGCTCAATTGGAAGACTAATCATAACCTATCTGTAGGACAGCCCTGAACAGCAAAGTCTTGGAACGCTTTGGTTTATACTCAGCAGGGAAGGTCAGTGTAGCTGGAGGGAATCACACCTTGTGTCTCAAGGCAGGCAATGGGTCCCCGAGGACCAGGAGATAAAATGAGGTCTCTGATTCCAAGTCTTGAGTCTGATCATCACCAAACACTGCAGCTCAGTTCACTCATGAGAAAGTCTTTTCTTCTCCCATACACAGCACAGGAGTCCCCATTATCTCTAAGCACTCAGCCACTCCATCTACCTGTAATTTGCTTCCTGCCTGATACTTCTTTGTCTTTCTTTTTGTTTTTAATGTTCTTTTTCTTTTTTTTAATTTTTCTTTATTAAGAAATCTTTGAATCATTCCACATACTATCCACACATCTGCCCTCGTCCCTCCTCCTACCCTCCAGCCCTCTTTCTCAAGACACCCTGCATCCCCACATCCCCCAAATCCAGGTCTTTGATGGGGAGTCAGCAGAGCCCAGCACACTGAGCCTAGCCTGCCTGATTCATTAAGGATCTGGATGGCTGGAAGTTAAGAGACTTTCTTTGGTTGTAAGAAGCCTTTGCAAGAATCAGAGTACCACACAGGGCAAGCATCCCTCTGTGGTCAGCACAGCACCACTACCCAAGCCCAATATCAAAACCAACAAAGCCAATCCCACTGATGGTGAGGACTCAGTAGCATTAATGTGTGAGCCTAGGACTCAGAATACAGCCTACCTGTGGAGGATAAATGATCAAAGCCTCTCAGAAGAGGACAGGCTGAAACTGTCCGAGGACAACAGGACTCTCACTTTACTCAGTGTTGTGAGGACTGACACAGGACCTTATGAATGTGAACCTGGAACCCAGTGAGGGACTCCCCAAGGACCCATTCACTCTTAACACTACTTTAAATATTTTGTTTCATCCTGGCCCCAACTGCCTAAATAGAGAGGGCTAGAGCTACCATACTCAGTCCCAGTCCCCTTGCGTTTGTGACATAGACATGCCATATAGATACCTAGGCTGCCAGGGCATCCTGGCCCAGCCCAAGCTCATGAAGAAAGGCCCAGCATTGAGCTTAAATGGGCTCCAGAGACTTCTGCCTAGCGAGGCTCAGGGTGATGGAGACAGGGTTCATGTCAGGCTCAGGCTCAGTGTACACAAGAGTGTGCATTTGGGAAGTTTGGGTGTTGTGCTTGAGATAGATCAGGGCTTGTGCATGCTGAATGAGTACTCTTCTGCTAATCTACACCCTAGCTCTGGGTAGGACCTGCTCAACTAAGGTTAAAGCACAGCTCAAAGAGATACTATGTCCTTCTAAAGAACATGATTTCCCCTTCCCTCTGCTGACATCACAGGTGAATTCATTCTGTTTACTCCATATGGTTCAGATATCCTGATCATGTCCCCCTCAAATATTCATTTCCATTGAAGGACAAACCTTACATCTCCTGCTACTCAGATGCTAACCCACCTGCACAGTACTCTTGGTTTGTCAATGGAGAGCTCCAGTCATCCTCCCAAGAGTTCTATATTCCCAACATCAATACTAATAATAGTGGATCTTATACCTGCCTCGCATATAACTGTCACTGTCCTCAGTAAGACCACAGTCAAGAACATTACAGTCTTTAGTAAGTGGATCTCTGAAATATCAGCACCAGGTTTGGAGTGGAGTCTTTTGGCTTTCTGGGAAGGTACAGAAACTTTTAATTTCCAGCCCATGTCTATGAGATCAAAATTCAGTCTTCCCGCAAGCCTCCTGCTCCATCCCTGTGTCTAATGGCCTCCTGGTTCTCTGATTTCTGGCTGATAGGGATTGAGCTTGCAATGTAAGGAGGAGCTTCTCCGAGTCTTGGAAAGCCTTTGGTTTTGTGAGGGACTTTGCATGGTTAGGAGAGCCTCAAAGTCATGATTTCTTTCTCTACCTAACACAAGCTTTCCTGTCCTCTCCATTTTCATTTTATGACCTCCATGACCTACAAGGAACACCGAGGACTTTCAACTGTGCTCACCTTCTTATTCTCAAGTTGGAGGAGAATATTCCCCACAGATGGGGACTGGATCTCTGCTCCCAGCTCTGCTCCTCTCTCATTGATGGGGTGTTTGTCTCAGCTCTGACTCCATGGGATGGAAAGTGTGGGTGAAGAAGGTGTCTGGGGGCCCTGTTCTGAGACAGGGCAAACCATGTCACTGACAGTTGATGATGATCTTTTGCTTACTCTTCTCAAGGTTCAAAAAACCAATGTCACCTGAGTGTGGTGGCACATACCTTGATGCCAGCACTGAGTAGGGAGAACAGGTAGACAGTGTGAGTTTGAGGCCAGCCTGGTCTACATAGCAAGATTCAAGCAATCTAGGACTGTACTCTGAGACCCTGTCTCAAAAATTATCAGTACTGAGCATTAGAGTGGCAGGCTGTGGTAGGAACTGTGATTATTCACTTCTTCTCTGTAGTATTTAATTCATATCCGTGGGGCAGGAAATACAATTTTTTCTACAAACAGAAATCCTTCAGTCAGGGATTTCTCCTTGTCCTGAGGTAGAGCCTTTAACACCTTTAAGATTAGCTGGGCCATCTTAACCCCATGACAAATTATTTAATTAAAAGTAAACATAACGCTATTCCATAAAAGAGGGACCTGACTGTTAACACTCACAGAAAGTGGGAGCAAGAATTCCCACAAAAATTATTGGAAAATACATTCCCCCCACCATGAGATTTCTGGACAGGTGGGTTGAAGAGGCTTCCAGTTTGGAATCTATACAAATACCCTGAGTCAGTGTCACTGTGAGTGATCTTGATGGAGTAAGATTGAGCTCTCTTCTTGCAGACCACATCTTCAACCCAACGATGTGATCTTGCAGAGGGCCACTTCATTCTATGGATCCTGGGAGCAGTCTGAGATCTCTGAGGGTGACTGACTCTCAGCTGGCCATATCCTTTTTTTATCCACAGATCCAGTGACTAAACCCTGCATCCAAGTCAACCAAATCATAGGCAACGACCTTGTCTCTGTGTTCCTGAATTGCCCGACAAATGACAATGATAACTCCATTCAGTGGTTCGTCAAAGGCCAGAGTATGAATAACATGAATAGGATGCGACTGGCCCAGAACAACAGAACCCTCGAAATAATCCCTGCTAGGAAGGAGGATTCCGGGGACTATCACTGTCATGTATCTAATCCACTCGGTTCCATGAAAAGTGACCCCATCCAGCTGGACATAATAGGTGAGTGACCTCTGTTCCCCTCTTACTCCATAGTGTTGGGGATGGGGGCAGTTTCTTTATCATCAGAGTGCAGAATGGGTAAAAGTCACAGGGGGAAAAACATGGTTCAAGTTACAAATACAGTCAGCTTGGTGATGGATGCATGTTAATCTCATGATAACACATCAAGGAAGCTTAGCACCATTCTGCATGCCATTAACCCCAGCACACCAGAGGCAGAGAAAGTTGGATCTCTATGAGTTCCCAACCACTATGGTCTTTGTAGCCAGTTTCAGGTTAGCCAGAGCTACATAGTGAGACCCTACTCAAAAAAGAGAGAGCACAAAACAGGAGGCATAGAAGTACAAGGCCACTCAACTGAATGGACCAGGCTCTGCTGACTCCCCATAGGAGACCTTGCCTTGGAGGAGGTGGGAATTGGAGGTGGATTGGAGGGGAACGCTTTGGGGTGGGAGGAGTCAGGACAGGGGAATCTGTGGTTGATATGTAAAATGAATAGAAAATCTCTGTATAAAAAAAAAGAAATACCAGGTTAGCCCAGATTACATTGTGAGATCCTGTCAATAATAACAATAAATGTCAATATAGCAAATACAAATGCAAAGTGATTAAGAGTTTAGTGTCTGAGTCAGAGACACACAGTCAACCCTCAGAATGTAATAAAATATTCATGTTCCTGTACACCACCACAACCATCCCCGCACACACATTCAAAACTTCTTTAGATTATTTTCAATACCTAGTATAAATACTGCATAGACACTGGTCTTATTGTGTTGAGTACAGGACAAGACAGGAGGAAACAATACATTTTTCAATGTAGACATGCTTTTCCAAGTAGTTTGTTTCCTTGGTTTTGATCCATAAATATAAAATCCATAGAAGAAAGGGCCTATAATGACTTTTTTACTACATTTGCATATTTTCATTTTGTATGCATGTCCCACACCAATGTGTGGGGTTCAGGGGACAGTTTGTGGATGCCAGTTCTCCAGGGACAGGGGATTGAACTTAGGTGGGTGAACCAGCTCTTTATCTGCTAAGCCATTTCACTGGCCCACATTTGTTTGTGCATTTATTTCTGTGTGACAGTTGGGGGTGTAGCTACAGCAGGCACTCTTCCCAACTGAGCCATCTTTGTGGCCCAGTTACTGAGTTTCTTATCTTCATGCTAACATTGACAGCATGACCTCCTTGCACAACGCTCTTTTTTCTGGTAACT